GATATAATTCAAATTTTTATACTGTTTTCTGCTCTTATGTCAAAGCTTCTTTTTGGTTATGTTAATTGTTTATAAAATTATTAATGTTTTTTTTTTCATTTATTCCAAGCAAAATGTTGGGATGTAAAAACTGTCGATCTTTTCATTCAAATTTTCATAAAGATAGTAACCGTGATGTAGGAATATTTATAAGTTTATTAAAGTTTATAAAAATGTATATTTTAAAAAATTCATCTTTATAATGTGCACTTTGTAAGGTTGACTGTTTATGTTTGTAGTTTGATATATTAGAAATTAAAGTGTAATTAAAATTTATGCTTTACAATGAGTATTTAAATGTATAATTATAAAACAAATCATTTAAACGCTTGAACTTATTTAGTATTGCAAAATAAGTTTTACGATAAATGTTTTCAGAAGTTACAACATACAAAAACTTCTAACTGTAAAAAAAGAAACTTTAACTATTACATTTGTCGCCTAATGTGAGAAAGTAAACTGTCCAATTATCATATAAAAGTTGAAATTTTGTTTATCATGTAATTTTTGAATTTTAAATAATTGTGTAAGGTTCAGTTTTTTGAATAATTTAATAGATTATTTGCAAAAAATAGGGTTCCATTTTAGCTATCGCTTTATAAATTTAGGATGAATCTATAAGGCAGTCTTTAAATCACTTAAATTCGACATAATTTTCGAGGACTTGTAATGAATTATAAAAATATTGTGCTGTAAGCATGACGCTTACACATTCTACATATACATAAATCGTCATTAATCCGCGCGTTCCTTTACTTTATCAGTGATTAGGTATATAACACACTCATATTATACGATAAATAAGATAGTTCGCCCATCTATCACTTTATGTCTCTCTTTCTTCAAGGTACATCTTAAATAATTTATAATTAAAGCCGAATGAGTTAGCTAAATCGCTCTCGCACGCGCGCAACTCCCTCCTCAAGCTTACTGAATAATTCATTATAGTGCAGCGCACTCCTTTTTTCTCCCCCCTCTCTCTCTGTATCTTTATCCATCTCTCAGCTCCTATCTTATTCTCTCACTCTCTTTATCTTTCTTGCTCTCTTTCTTTGCAGCTGCTTACCTATCAAGGTCAGTGATATTTCTCCGTACAGACAACCCAGTGCTCATGAAAATAACTAAATATGTCAAATGGTATGATACTTTAATAAATAATTAAACATGTTCACTTATATATACGAGTTGATTATGAGACAAATTATAATCTGCAAATTATATAGACTGGATGAAATATATAATTTCATGCGGAAGTATAAAGAAGATACGATCACTTTTGTGTTTAGATAGCGTTACCCACATTATTAATAAGTTGTGTCATAATTTTTTTTATTTTATATCTTTCAATATGTAACTATGTCGACTATAATGTAATAGTTATAGAGAGATTGATTTTGTCAATTTATTCATTGTTGCAGATTAAGGGATGAGCGCGGTGAGACAGAAAGAGCACTTGCCTTGGATCATAAACAACGGGACCACAGCTCGCACAATGGTAAGTCTTATTTTTCTAAGTCCAATATACTTTTAGACAGTCGTTTGATTTTTTCAATTTTCAATTTGCATACATACAAAATTTGTCCAGCTAATTTAATAAATTAAGGTAAAGTACTAACTTATAATAATTTCAAATGCACTTTACTTTTAAAATTTTGTGTATCTAACTAAAAATATTATACATGTTTTATAGTTATAATGCATCCAAGAAAATTTATATGATAAACTCATATAATATTATTTATGATTATAATATCGAAAATACCGGATTAAATTATAATTCGGAGAATACCGAACAAAATGTATAATTATAAGTTTAAGGGTATATATAAGGCTAAATATGTCTTTAAAAAGGTGTATTGAAAAGATAACTGTTTAAAATTATAAACGCATTCTAGAGAATAATTTTAATAATTACTACGTACGTTATTTGAGTATTACATTAATAACCACGAAAAGTAACTTATCAGGTTTTACTACACATACAATTTTGAGGTGTTATTTTTCATATGGTTTTTTTCTCGCAGATAAATCATTGTTAATAGTTGAACTCCATGTCGGATTCTTTCACTACCTAATATTTAATCTAGAACGCTAAAACCACTTCGTACTTTTCGCTTTCACCCTTCATGACCGTTTTCCATGTCTTCGGCATACACTTAGTAAATAAATTCGATTAGACTTGGAAAAAGGTTTCGCAAACGCATAGGCAAAAATTCTCGTGGAAATGGAGAAAAGCAGCGGTTAAGGGAATGTTCAACGGCAATGGTAATACGTCACTGCAGGCTTTCAGGAACATACGTCTGCCCAAACAGAATCCATCCATGTCAGGATTAAAATACTCGGATATCAAATACTGGTCGCGCGAGCCGCTCAAGTGCGTTGCCCCGTAAGAGAGAAAGACAAATTAGGGAGAGTGAAAATCAACGTTGGCTCTATTCGGCTGATGCATTGCTCACATCATTTGGCTTTGTTCTAATTACACCGCTTATACAAATTTGTTTATTATTTAATGGGAATAATTTTTAAAATTTTTTCTTTCATTTAAATATATTTTTTGTTTTCTCTTTTTAATTTTCATGTACTAATTCGAATATAATAACATGTAAATTTTAAATAAGATACGTGTTATCATTTCTCCTACCATGGAATATAAATGAATGTAATTAATCGCTTAAGAATGTAGTTGAAATATAGAGTATAAAATAAACCGAGAAAGGAAAATACAATTCCTTAGTAGAACTATGAATTATTTTTATTTTAATAAATTCTTATAGCTTTTAATACAGGATAAAAAATTTAATAAATAAAAGAGCCCTTATTTAAGAAAAAAATTTTTATATATTTATATTTTATATATTGTATAAAATCGCAAAGAAGGATAGAGGAAGAGGGAGAGAGAGAGAGTGAGAGAGAGAGAGAGAGAGAGAGAGAGATAGATAGAAAAGGGGCACTACATAGAGGGGAATAGATGAGACACGCTCTGAGCAAAAGGGAGTAGGATCCGACAAAGTTACCATGCTGAATGGGGATTCACGCATCGTGGTCAAATAAGATCCATCATCTTGTCAACCGGAAAAAGCAAAATATATCCCTATTTCAAGACTATCTCTACTTACTTATCTCACATTTCAACGATTTTTTAGCGGTTTTACTTTTCTATTACTCAAATTCCTATTATTTGTTTGCTAGAAATCGATGTTGGTTAAAATATCATAAATCCTTACTAACACACGAAACCTTAATTCATTGAAGTTAACAATCTTTTCAAATTTCCAACTTTTAATTTATATATAAATTTGCATACAATTAAAAATGTTATTCGAGGGATGCGTATAGATAAAAATAGAATAATTGTATGCACAAAAATAATAGTGGGTCAATAAAAAATTAAATATGAATACCATATACAAAACAGCTTTATAAAGTACAATAATTTGACGGTATTTAAAGAAAAAAAAAATATATATATATATAAAAGAAAAATATACAACGGTTTACATTATGCAAATAATATTATGTACAATTATGAAATATTCCAAAGAAAATATTTGAAATAAGAATCTGATTTGCTACTAATTTGAGATATGAATAAGTTCTAGATAATTTCCAGAACAAACAAATTATTTTTCTTGATGTGATGAGTTTGATAGATTCAAATTTTACATATAATTTATCGTTATTTTGTTTATTTTATTATTATTAACTTGGCAATAATAATAAAATCAATGAAAAAATTATAATAACGGATCGTAACATTATTATCCATACGAGTAATATTAATGACACTAAACTATATTTAAATACAATACATAATATTCATTATAATGTTTATAATATTTATTTTTAAATATATAGGTAATTTAGGTTATAAGAAAACAGAAGTGATACATAAAAATACCAATCGAAATGATCTATTTAAATATGTTGTTGAATAAGGTTAATCGAATACTATTTTATAACGGCTTTTGTAGGTTCGTCAAATGGTCACAGTCCAGTTTTGAATCTTTCGAAAACCGCTGGAAGCGGTAGTGTTGGAGAGCACTCCGGAAGCGAGGCAGGCGCGTCGCATCGTTCACAAGATGACGAAGAGGAAGAGGATAATCTATCCGAGGATCTTGAAGACGAAAACGAAAAAGATGAAGGTTGGTAAATTTAATTATTAATTTAATAATGTTGACTTTTCTAATCCTATTTATCGAATGGGATTATTATAAAATGTATTTGAATTAATTTAAACATTACTCTAAAATGGGCATGTATTATAAGAGCTGATTATATCATAATTGCTGGTACGTTTAATAATATATTGATTAATTATGTTAATGTAGAGCAATACAAAGTAATAAGAGTATTTGATTGTCAAGTTTGTAAATGTTGTATCGATCCTACTATATTTAGTATAACCAGAAGTTTGGAAAGAAAAACAAACTATAGAGAATAGTAATAAAAATATAAGAATTCAGACATTCTAGGTCAATTAGAATATTTTGTTACTAATGGGTATATTCATTTATGTGTCATTAAAATACATGTTAACATAACTATATAGGCGCACATTTTCAAATCATTTAATTTTAGTTTATAAATGGCCACTCTAGTGTCGTGCTTCGATCGTTTCGCAACTTGTCAGAAAAGAACTATCAATTACAAATCACCACTTATTCTTCAAAAACTCAAAGCCAATTAAATAATTCATATAATTACTTGGATAATTAGACGCTTAGTGAAAGAAAGAAAAGGATAAAACAAGAAACGGGTGTACGAAATTGAGAGAGAGAGAGAGAGAGAGAGAGAGAGAGAAAAGACTGATGAGGAGTGGCGGTAGGATCGTGGAGTATGCTAAGGGGTGGGGAGTGGGAAGGAGCGAGAGGAATATGGCAGTTAAGCATAAAAGCGTATTAAGAAACGCTGATTGGTAATCTCACGCATCGGCGCATGCATGCATATTGAAAATAATTATATCGCTCACGAGCTGGACAGAAGGAGTCTCGCGCTCGCGAGCTCCAAGATGAGCTCCTCGCTCGGATAGAGTGAGAGAAGTGAGCAGTGGAACCACTGGCACACTCATCGATCATTTGCAGCCTGAGCCCAAAGACGTCTCCAATTGGTCCTTCTTTTCCTTGTTTTTTTTTCTTGCTCGTCCTTAGCGTCCAGCACCGGTACCTTTTTGCTTGATTTCCGACTCACGTGGCAGCGGTTATCATATCCTACGTTGCTACTCCTGCTATGGGCCAGCAGTGTTTTTCCACCGTTCCTTGCTTCTACAGTCTTGTATTGATTTCACGGCCGTGACGCATTCATGGCTTTCAGAGCCCAGGTACACTGATTTCTACACATGATCTATATGGAAATTCATGCAATGTTTGCATTACGCGCCTAATCAATTATTTGCTGACTTGGGTCAGTATTCAGTGCTGACTGAGTTGAAATAGTTGAAGAATTGAAGGTTTTTATTTTACGACGCGCTTATTAGTTTCATTTTTATGGTATAATTTTCAAAAGTCATTTTGCATATAGCCACCTTACGTTAATTTCTGGACTATACTGTAAATTCTATATTCAATGCAGAAATATTACGATCCAATTTGTAGTTATTTTATGAAGTATAGGTGCGAATTTCGCTAAGCAAAAGATATTAATTATAAAATTCGATTACAGTTTCAATTTAGTGAGACTAATAAAGATACCCAATGAGTGCTAAATTCTTAAATTTATAAACGGTAATTCTGTTAATAAACTTTAAATTTTTTAAAAAATGAGCCTAACTTTTGCAATTATAACATGTAGTAAGCGTGAGAACGAATTGGCATTGATTATAGTTTGATGAGATGAAGAACCCACTGGTAAGCTTAAATGATTTTTAGACTCAAGTCTTTGGTATTTAGTTTGATTTAAATAATGAGAAATGGAAGTCGATGATAATTTGTTTCCAAGAGAATGGCAAAAGAAGGCTCGAGAAAACGATAACTCGAGTCCCAACTTCATCGATTATTGAAATATGGAATCGATTTTTCACCATTCGCAGCATTTCATGGTCTCCTCTAGTAAAGTTGAAACGTGCAATTTATTAATAAAAGGAATGAAGTCGTAAATGAAGAAAATTACTTAATGTACGATGGGTTATTAGCAGAATGTGCATAATTTCTAAAGGTTTCAATATCATTTTTAATTGTACGGTAAGAAATAAGTTAGTATTAACATTTTTATTTTAGTATTCTTAGAGATTTGCTTTTTTACGAAAAAAAATTATTTTGTGATAAATAAAGTAAATTAATGTTCAGTTTTTATTCTGTCAATAATAAACTTTTAAAAAAATAATGACTATTAAAAAAATATTACATAATATTGAATATTACACGTAAATTAATATGTTTCTATAATTAATGTTTGTATCTATAAATTGTTCTATTTTTCAATATCAGTTTATATCTTTTTAGATTGAAGTGTAAATAATAATATATTATATAATATTATTGTGTAGTGTTATATATATTATAACTGTATCAGGATAATAAATTAATATGGTTCAATTATATATTAAATTCTACTATAAAATTTTATTCGATATTTTATTCTCAGTATTAAAAACACTTGCATAATATAAAACGCATGCGTTTTATATAAAATAGTGTAGTAATAAACATTCTTATTAAAAATTTCAAATTTGTAGAAACATTTTAAAGATAAAAAGTCTTCATATTTAATGAATAATCTGATGAGTTATTTCATTTTAAAATCAAGTTTTTAAGAATTGTACTAAGTTCCGTTTCGGCGAAACTTTTATAAGTTATGAGACATGAAAGTCTCTCTCTTATGCATTAGTTTCACACCGCGTTAAGTTGTTCAATCATATTATGCATATCATTGAATTCTAAAAATACTCTAACGGATTTTTCAAGTGCCTCTTCAGTAATTTTCTTCATTTCATATTTATTAAAAAAAGTAAATAATAATAAAAAGGTGATCTCGTCGATATTTTAAATAAATTCATTAAAAGTTCTTTAATACAAGCTATCGAGATAACTAAATAATATTGGAGGCACACGAATATTTAGAATTTAATTAGAAGCTTTGTTTGATGAGTAAATAGTAGCCAATTATACGAAAATAACTAAGTAGAAAAAAAGACTACAGAATAGCTGAAAAAGGTAACATAAGGGGCGGGCTATGAAATACAAACCTCAAAGATCGAACAATAAATTAGAAAGCTGAAATATTTCCTTGTACAAAGTAGCTATGCAGACGATCGCAAAGCAATGGCAAGAGTCCGGAATGAAAAGAAAATAGGGAGTTCGTGTCGCGCAGCATGTCGTATGCGCACCGCAACAACCTACCTATAGATGATCCTCGCGGAGAGCGATCGAGCGCCCGTGGGAGTCTACACGCTCACGGAATGCCGTTCTGATTTAATGAGAGAAAGAGAGAGAGAGAGAGAGAGAGAGAGAGAGAGAGCAGGGATGTACGTACATCCGCGATTTACCGATTCTATTGGGGGGATCCTGGGCAGCAGCGTCGCCGTTATCGGTTTACTGGAAACCTATACTGTGTTGGGACAAAGAAATGCAAGATCGACGCCGACGGGAGAAATGGAGAAATGTGAACGACCAAAGAGGGAGAAAATGAAAGAGTAAGACAGTGAGATACATATATATATATATATATAGAGAGAGAGAGAGAGAGAGAGAGAGAGAGAGAGAAGGCGTATGTGAGGAAGGGGGTGGGCGGAGAGAGAGGCAGCGGAGGTCAGATAAGCCCGACAGAGACGCATAAAGTCTCAAGTCGAAGAGTCTTTCTGCATTTGAGGATTCGACCTCTGGTTCTCTTTGCTTCGACGCTATACTTTCAGGCAAGATTAGACCAAGTGTTAATGCATCCGCCTGGCCATCCGCCTTTATTCGGCTTGATCTCTGTCTCTTCCTACATTACACTTGCTTGTCTGCCGAGCACTGTTTTGTTTTCAGGTTAAGTCTCGGGCAAGTGCGTAAGGACATAAAAAATTCTTTCGTTCCCCGACGGTGAATTATTTCGACTTGCTATCCAAATCCGTTCAAATTGAAGTTCCTGGTATGGTCTATCGACATTATTCGAATTAAATGACTAACAAAAGTCTCCATTGAAATACTTGTATGCTGAGAAGGATCGACGAGACATACCGACAACTTCGCTGCGAGTGTGCCTTTTTTCCAAAGCCAAGTCTATTTTTTTAAAATACCCTTAAAACCTAATGGGAGTTCACAGGAAAACTGATACCTTTGCGCTTAGAGTGACTTCCCCCGGTAGCGATGGGAGTCCTCGATCTACGCTGCTCCTTTCGCTTGTCTCTCGGCCGCCAGGAACATGACCTCTCGGGGCGCGTGTGGGCTCGACTAAGTGGTCGCCCTCATACGCGCCCCATAATTCGGGCGTATCGTCGTGTGACGCGTCTCGGCTGCTTTACTGCCGCCGATAGCTGCTTTATTGTATCGACTTTTAATTATCAGTCGCTTGCGCGCTCACTTACAACGAAAGGGCATTCGACTGACTTATGGCCTCGGCTCGCTCGTCCCCACCCGTAGTCCATCGGCCGTCGTCCGACGATTTCACGTTCGCGCCCTCGGAGGTAGATAAGGGGAGGTGCGCGAGCCTCGCCCCGGCATATCGTGCCTTCCATTACAATTATCGGCGTCAGTAAATTCGTCGACGCGGCGCGACCTATTATTTATCCATCGCTTTTTCTACCTCTTACCTCCCACCGCTTATTTATTATGGTCCCGATTATTTTGCAAAAGTGCGCACACACAATGGTTCTGCTTTGCCTGATTTTTCTTTTGATAATTAACGCGTGAGCTTTTCGCTTTGCGACTATCGATGCTCTTATCGGGGCGCTTTTCTCTCGTCGAAGCCGAATGGCAATTTATATGTGATGAGGCACTTTTTATTGCTCCTACTCCTTAACGTTTATCGTCATCATGGCTCGTTATTTCTATGAGGTATTTATAATTAGGAAATAGTGTATAGAGAGTCGAGTGAACGATTTTCAGGACAGTTTCACGATTTCAGCTGTAATTGAAGCCTTTTAAGTGCAACTGAATACGGAATACTAGCCTTCCTATGGTATTCCATTCCTTTATCTTTCTGATTACGCGTAAAACCATTTACATAAAATCTCAATGTATATTTATATTAATCTTTTTCATTACGTTCAACCTTCTTAATGTTAAGCCTTTTCCTTCATTTACAACAAAATGTTATTTTACAGCGGGAAAGCATAAATAGTCTGTGCTTGGTCTTATGCGTTCTCTTCTGTAATTGAATATAGAGAAGAAATTGTTCACATAAAGTAGTTAAGGCAATTTTTTTGAATCGAGAAAGTGTATTTGTTTTAATGACTTGTTTCAATTTCATAAAGTGGCGAGGTTTTGCATGTATGAAGATGAGCTGTTTTTTTTTAAAGTATGTTAAAGTTTTTTAAAGTCCATGAAGCGCAATTCAGAGAAAAATCAAATATCTTTAGAAGTGTCCCTCTTTACAATTATTAATACAAGAGTGGTAATTTATTCGAAAACTTTCGAAAATATTCAGGAATATATCATCTTTAATTAGTAATAATACAAATTTAGAAGAAAAATATTGGTGCCTCATAATCATATTGCTAAACATGCAAATTCAATACCAAAACTATAAATGGCCAATTTTTCTTTTACAAGCTGTAAGCTACATATATTAATAAGTAATTTCAGATGCATTCGTTCAGGCCAATTGTTCAAAAATCTGACGATCCGTTCAAACGAAAAATCGAGAGTAATAAAAAATGCGTGTTCTTCGCTGGAAGCGCTCGAATTCCCAACTTGACAAATTTCGAACGCACGTAAGACACGCGGGGGTCGGCGGCTTTCTCAAAAAGACAGCGGGAGTAAGGGAGAACAACGACAACAACAACGTGGTGCGGATTTGGGCGCGTGAACGGCCTCTGCAGACTTACGGGCTGTGCGTGTCTCGAGGCTGTAATCCCGGCCGATGTCTACTTGTTGCCCATCGTCGGATCTTTGATTTAGTCTCGTCGCAATCGAATTAAATGCTCACGAATTAAGCGTGGACGCAACGTACGCACGCGAGTGCCATAAGATGTCCGTGCGCCTACGACGTCGACGACAGTCTGTCTTAGCTGGTGCTGCTGCCCGATGATATTTATCGCTGACATCTTAGCATGCACGGTAATGCCGAGATTTATACTTCGAATCTTTCTTTTGCTTTTACCCTTTTTTGGTATTCGGCTGGGTCGCGCTCGTCGGTTACTGCTTTAACGCTCGATCGTTCTTAGCTCAGCACTTAGCATCGGCAACTTTAAAGCCTCTATAGATTTAGTATGGCCGTAGGTCGGGCCCTTACGCTATATTAGCCAGTATTCCTTTCCAATAAAAGTCCTACTATTATCGTTTGAGCAAATTGAGTCCACGAGCGTAATAAGAGGATAATTTATAATGCGTGAAAGGAAGGAAGGTACGTCTGCGCGGAGTCTTGCCAGAGTCCAAGCGTTTTTAAGTTGTGGAATGCGCCACAAGCACGCATAAATGAAATTCAGAGTCGTAAAGATTTGGTTAGAAAAAGTAAAATGTTGATAAGGTTGGCGATGGGCATAGCGCTATGGTTGAATCGATTGTTTGTCTCGAAAAGGGCGAAAAAGTGTTAACGAGAGGTCTTATCTTGCATCCCCTCCTGGGCCATTATAATAACGCGACCGCCATTGGCGTCGGGTACCGCCGGTATAATCATATTGGCTAGGAAGATAAGAAGGTTGATCGGATAGGTGAGAGGTGCTAAGTAATTTCAACGAACGAACCTCTTTGCAGAGGACGCAGGTTCGCGGAAGACAAGTCGGAGAGTAGGCGATGATAATCGAGCAAGCCGTTGTTGTGTTCACAGACATGTCGGACGTACCGGAGAACCTGCCGCTGGCGGCGCCCGGCTCCGAGAGCCCACAGGCCTTGAACTACTCGCAGATCGCTTCGGCGGCGGTGGCGGTCTCCCAGGCCGGGGGACAGGATCCAAGTGCTGTATCCAGTACGGAGAACTTGCTGAGGAACATTCAGGGCCTGCTGAAGGTCGCGGCGGACAACGCGCGTCAGCAGTAAAAGCAAATCAACTACGAGAAAGGTCAGTGGCAGGGCTTTCTTAAGACACTTGAGGGCGCTCTCCACAATTACATTATCTACCAGCTCTCGCAGAGCTACTTTAGGAGGCGCTAGACACCCCGGATTAGCGCCGCCGCTGCCGCTGCCGACGCCACCACCACCGCCGCCGCAGTCGCCGCTATTATTATCGGCTGCACGTACGCGGCTCCCACCCCCGCTACCACCTCCACGTCTGTACTAACACCTACATCCGCAGCCACATCCAGACCCAGTGAGGCCCACGAGCTTGTAATATCCTGAACTCCTCTGACTCGTCTTCCATCCCATGAGACTGGAAGGGAATCGTCGCCGGGAGAAGGGCATCTCTTTTCAAGGGCAGGCTAATGCGAGTCGGTTTTTCTTTTATTTTACTCGCATGGTTGATTGCTTTCACAATCGCCAATGTGCTCGCGTGAAACACGGCGTCGCGCAAACGAACGACAGTTTGGAGTGTCGTTAAAAAGGGGCATTAAATGGCTTAGCCGCGAACCAACTATCGACTATCGACATTTGAGACGTCTTTGCAATAGATCCTGAACATAACTATTTATTTTTCGGTCGAACATGATTATTTGGATATTGCATTTTCGTTTAGTACATGATAAAACTCATAGGTATTATTAGAACTTAAAATATTGTAAATATTAATATGCATTGTTGTCGTCTTTTGGATTTTGGGTCATTTTCGTAAAATATCAATATTATTCGGAGTTATTGATTATATAGTCTGCAATAAGTAAAAGTATTTCTCACAATTAAGTATATTAATAATATGCTTTGAAAGGTAGCTAAATGATTAACAGTTTTTTTCGCAATGATTTCTTTTCAGTTAACAATATCCTCATACCCTTCTTCATATTTTAAACTCTCGCTTTTCTCCTAGTTCCTCAGTTGCGCTTACATTTCTTTTATCATCCAGCGTTTTGTGATCCTTTTATGACATACCCATACACAAGTTCACGCATACGTATACGCGCGGGCAAAAACATGCACACAAACACGGACACGGACACATGCATACATAAACAGAGATACAGGCCAGAGTATTAGATTCAAGCTTTTAAAAACAATTGTATGGATCTATGAAAATACTAAGCTTTAATTAATGATCTTATTGTGTAATAAATGGAATTACATATATTGAAGGTTTAATGCTATGTTCGCTTATTTTAGCAAATTTTTATTTTTAACCTGTTACTACACTGAGAAAAAATTATTTTTATACTTCTTTAAAACGATTAAACATATTATTTAGTATTTATAAATGTATTTATTATTCTCATTAATGAAAAAATTAAATTAAATTAAATAAAAATAAAAAAATAAAATTTATAATTTTTCTTCGTAATATATTTTCAATAACACTTTCTTTATATTGGAAAGTAAAACATTAACATGAAGGAAGTAGCTTATAATTCAATATATTAATGTGATTATATAAGAAACATTACATAATTGATATAATTACATAACCGATACTACCAACATTTCTGTTACTTCTCAATACATTAAAACAAATCCTTTCTCAGTGTAGGCAATTTATATGATTGATCTAATTAAAAGGGAGATATTGAGATAGAGGTTAATGAAACTCTTAGAATTTTTCATAGATTAATTTCCTAGTGTGTAAGGAAAGAAGTTATGAGCGTATAGAAAGAATCTATATATATATATATATATATATATATATATATATATATACAATACATATTAGACAATTCCATATATACAAATATATTTATATATAAATGTATATTGTCTGTATGTATATATACTTATGTATGTATGAATGTAGATTTCTTTTTTTGTAAGCTACTCATCCTATTCAATAAGACTCAAATCTCGATGTAAATCTCGTTCGTCCGTTCGTTTTTCAAAGTGGCTCTTAAGGCTACTCAATTCTTTGAGCTGATGCTCTCAGCTTTCACGAGCTTTGATTGAGCTGATTAACGCAGCCGTTTTCGTAATTTATACATATACACAACGGTTAAAATTATTTATGTATGAAAGATAAATATACAGAAAGTAAAAGAAATAGAGAGAGAGAGAGAGAGAGAGAGAGAGAGAGAGAGAGAGTGCGCGCGCGCGCGTGTGTATGAGTGAAGAAAGAAAGAGAGAGAGAAAGAAAGAAAGAAGCGTAGTATAATCTGGCGACCGACAAAGATAAAACGGCATTAATTTAAGTCATATAATAGACGAAAATTCGAAAAAGCGCCATTTGTAGTCATTAGTAACGTTTAACATTATTATTATCAATTAATTATTAATATGATTAGCGAAATTGGCGTGCTCACGCACCACGATAATGTTCAAAGTTTGTATTAGATTCTTATATAAATACTTATATAAGTATTACATATTATATATGAGCGTAATACCTCAATGTCGACAACAACACAAAACTATGATAAAAAATGAGTTCTAAATAAAAGTGAATTGCAAAGCACAAATTGATCTGGTTTCATGTTCGAGCAATTGCAGATACAACAGAGACTTTATATATTTTACATATTTTATACAGTTTAGACAATTATATTTTCTGCATTTTAGAATGATTTGATTATATAATATTGTTAATCTACTATTGCTCGAGCATAGCAGTTTTTGATTTAAAAAAATTTTTTTTTTGTTATAAATTTAAGTGTAATTTATCCTGATTAGCTAATGTAATTTCATTATAAAGTTAATTTGTAATTAATATTTTGTTAAAGTTCTGAGTTAAAAATTATTTTGTTTATAAAAAATTCTTTACGGCTTCTCAATTCGTTTTCAGTTCTTACATTCGAATGTAATGCAAAGGAACTTCATTGACTATTATTTAAGCTTTACTTTAAAAATCAAGTCTGATCGAAGTTCTGATTTCTTTATCATTACATAAATATGCGTTATTCTGTGCTTATATTTTTAGATCTTATTGAATTATCGATCGCATTATAATTTAACAATTATTTAACAATACTAAGACATCATTAAATGGAACAATAACCGAATAAATCGGCTAATATAAATTGAATTCGACTAAAATCTATTGAAACTCATTACTGTAAATTCGTATTCGTAAAAAGGAGTATGGTTAAAGTAGAGCCGCTAAGTGCGCGCCAAGTGCGCAAAATATGTCGTTAGAGTTACGTTAAAGCATTGTTTAAATGGCTATTAAGGGATAACCTCTAGCTGTCCTTTTATCAGAAACCACTTGATTCGGTATCTTCATTAAAAGCAAGAATGTTCAACTTCTTGGAGCGTTAATCGCGCGCATTCGCCTTTTAAAGCAATCCGTATATGTCGTCGAGCCTTCGGAGTGCCTTGGTTAAACCCTTTGAGGGACTAACCGTGGTACTGCCAATCCTGCTGCTGTACGTCCCTCATCGTAGAGATGCGTTCGTAATCACACCTTCTGTTTGTGACGTAAACCATAAGGTAAGAGGTCCTAATATGAATTCACATTTTCAAATACGTACCTTTCTCTCAGAGCTAAACCTTTAAATATTTACTCAACATCTAGTGCTTTAAACATCTTGTACCTACGGTAGAAACAGTTTTAATCATTTTCAGCTTGCATTTTGCTAGGCTCCAAGCTTGATTTTTCTTTCATAACTTCCTTTTATTTTATACTTTTCCATCTATCTTTCAATCCCCATGAAAATATGATGCTAAGATCAATGTTTTCACTGTCAATCTATATTCAATTTTAACCAAAATATTTGCTACCACAGCATACTAATTTCTACACATCTTTACATATATTTTCGCTATACTTGAAAGTATTAAATATTTTTCAAATAGGAAATAAATACTGTTGTATCCATGACTTATTTGTTTAGAATAATGAATTCCAAAATTGAAGCATGTTAAGTTTTTGTATAAAAGTAAGTGTAAGATCGCAATATCTGATTGTACGCGATACTGAATTGTACATGAGTTACTTCTTACGATTTTCAATAAAAAATTGCACACTTACTTGTGACTATCTGACTTATAGATTCTTATTAAAACTAATAATTTTATTTTTTATTTATTTGATAGATAGATATCGTTATAAATACATTCGCAGATGGGTTTTATAATAACCATTCATAAATACGATAGTAAAAATATCATACAAATACATACGATGCAAAGTGAATTTTGCTGAATATTATTAGGTATAAAAGTAACAAATTATTCATATATATATATCTTTAAAGAAAATATTTGTCAGCTTATAATCAACATTTATAATTTGCATAAATTTCATTATATTTTTGAAAAAAGCAAATTATGTAGAAATACAATATCCTTAGAAAGCGTGAAAAAAGATTCATGTAAACGTATGCAGTTTTTAGCATTTAGCAATAAAAAATAGATCATAAAAGAGAAGGAGCAGGTATGCACAAATTTTTTGTGTACCTCAAAAATATGATTGCATATATTTTATGGTTCTTTGCTCAGTTACATAAATTCGCACAAAATGCAAGTTTGGAACTTCAACTGCCAATTAGCCGATATAAAGTGTCATTTCTGAACTCCTTAAATGATGTTCAGAGTACGTGTTGTATTCTTTTTGTCTCTCTTTTATGCGTATGCAGCTATATAATCATTTTGACAATTAATACTTGCGCGCTTTATGGGGCGATTGTTCTCATACATTATGCATTTACTTGATAGTTGAAGAATTATTTGTTTTACTGCATGTTACATGTGCAAGAAAATTATTTACTGCTTTTGTCTAAAAAATGTTATTATTTGATTATAAATCATATAATCTAAAATTATGATCTAAACTTCAATAAATATGAATGTTATTAAAAAATATAAATATATAATCAAGTTAATCAATTGAGAAATACATACAACAAACCTTTAAAGTGTACGTTACTGTAAATTGTAGGACAATATAATAAGTAATATACATTAATGCTAATATAACAATACAATAATTATTATTCGATATAAATTCCATACATTATTTACATATAATATGTTTTAAGCATTGTTTTTTATTGT